GCTGTGTGGGTGGGTGGGTGGGTAAGCGAGTGGGTGAGGATGGGAGAAGTTGTGTGGGAATCTTGGAGGTGATGCTGTGCGCGGGTGACGCGCGCCGCCGCGCCTGTCCAGGGGCGACGCGCCCGGCTCGAGTTGGTGCGCCCTGCTACTTCAACGCGTGCACACATGCACACGCGCGCAGGCGGCACGCTGACAGACCTGGTGGCCAGCCGGTGGGAGTCTGCGTTGGAGCGCGGGGGTCTGCACCTGGAGGAGGCAGAGGCGCGCTTCTTCTTCCGCCAGTTTGTGAGCGCGGTGGAGTACTGCCACGGCAACAGGGTCGCGCACAGGTGACGGCGAAAACAAAGGGGCAGGGGCTGCGGATGCCAGGGGGCCGGCTGGGGCGGGTGCTGCTGTGCTTGCGGTCATGCGCCTCATGCCGTCTCGCCCGCCTCCAGCGTGCTAAATTCCTGTTTGTCTTTTTTTGTCGCGTTTTTGGTTTGTACCCCACCCTTTCGGCATCACAGAGACCTAAAGCTGGATAATACGCTGCTGGACGGCCCGCTGGCGGCCCCGCACATCAAGCTCTGCGACTTTGGTGCGCACGAGGGTACATGCAGCTCTAGGGCGCTGGGGTGAGGCTGGCGGGGCCCGACGCCGCCGTCGCTCAAAATCCTGTGTGTTGCACACACAGCTGACGCTGGCGCAACTGCCCAACCCTGCCCGTGCGCCCTAGGCTTTGCGCGGCAGTGGGGCCCAGACGGCAGCGGCGACATGCACACGGCGCTCGGCACGCCGGCTTACATGAGCCCCCAGATTTTGGGGTCCAAGTATGGAAACCAGGGCTTTGACGGCGCCGCGGCCGACGTGAGCGGGGGCGCGGCGGCCGCGGCATGGGGGCGTGGGTCTGCCGGCAGCGCGCCGGGGGGATTCAACGTGCAGCTTGGCCCGCAGTGGGCGTGTTTGGTCCCGGGGCGGCATGCGCCTGCGGCGAGCCTGAAGCCTGCGCCGCACCCCTGCACCCGCAGGTGTGGGCGAGCGGCATCATGCTATTCGTGATGCTGTTCGGCTGCTTCCCATTTGAGCACGACAAGCACAAGGACCCAAACAGCGAGGAGGCGCACCTGGAGGTGCGCAGAGGGGGGCCCCCTGCTGGCGAGGTGCCGCGGGTCTGCAGTGAAGGGGCGCCCCTCGGATGCAGCGGCGCACAAGGGGGACGGGGCACACGCGCGCCGCTGCTTGACTAGCCTCGTGAATCGTTTGATGTTGAGTGGCGTTGTCACTAGTTGCTGTGGGGCTGAGCTCCTGCCCTTGATGCAGAAATGGATGCGCGCACATGGACTCTCTCTCACTCGCACAAACGCATGCACACGCGCGCGCACAGGTGCGCATGGCTCAGGAGAAGCTGTCGTGGCGCGACAACCACTGCGCGAGCGCAGCCATAAGCCGCGGCGTCCTCAGCGTGGAGTGCGCAGACCTGCTGGATAAGCTGCTGGCCAAGGATGAGGTCAGAGCGCATGGCCATGTGAATGTGCATGTGCATGCCCGGCGCATGTGCATGTGCGCATGCATGCGCACAAGCGGCATGTACATGTGCGCTGTATTGCATGCGCATGGCATGGCGCTGGTACTTTGCACATGCACGTACACACGCGCGCGCCATGCATGTGTGCTGTGTATGTGCACGCACAGGCGCTGGTGCATGGGCGTTGTTGTGTCTAGTTGTGGGTGTGGGTTTGGGCGTGGAGCCAAGGGGCTCTTGCGCACAGGGCATGAGTCCGCACTTGCATGCATGCTGAGCACAAACAAACACCAGCCGGAGTGGTGATTGGCTCACTTGGTGGTGCTGTTAATGGCGCGTTTGCACGGGCTTGCGCCACTGCATGCCCTAATGGTTTGGCTGGCATGCCAGCTCCGCCGCCCTTACTTCCCGCCGCACGCCCCTTGAACGGCTGCAGTCCAAACGCATGGGCATCGACCGTGTCAAGGCCCACCCCTGGCTCAAACAGCCGCTGGCGAGCGAGGCGCACGCCGTGGCCTGGGACAGGCTGCAGTCTGAGGAGAGCGAGCGGAGGGCGACGTGCCAGCAGCCGCGCGCGGCTGCGCAGGTGGGCGTTCAGGGCCTGACAGGCGGATTGCGTTTTGTGCCAGTTGGCATTTGCTGCGCCCGCCCATCTCGATGCACAGTTGGGTGCAGGCATGCATCGTGCACTCTTTCCACCCCCCACTTTGGTGCTGCCCAATACTTCTATCAACCAGTTTCAGACTCCATCATCCGTCACTCCGCCGCTTCTGCATGCCTCTGTCACGCCCTGCGTCATGCGGAACTGCACACACCTCTGCACACCACTGATTGAACGCGCGTCATGCTCAACCCTGCAGCTCAAGCGGCTCAAGGCAGCAGTCCTGGCTATGATGGCCGCCGCAACCCGCACCGCCGCCGACGCCCCGCTTTTCGGCCAGGACGCCCTCTCCGCCGCGGCTGCGCCCCACAGTGGCGGCCCCCAGCGCCCACCAGCAAGTGCGGCTCGCGCGCACGCGCGGCGGCGGCGGCGGCTGAGGCACGAGTCGACGCCGACGGTTGCGCAGCTCGGCGCCCTCGCGGCGCCTGCATGCGGCCGCATCGGCAGCGATTGCGCACCCGAGCGAGGCGCGGCGGTGGACGGCGCGCCTGGAGGGCTGGACGCGGGCGCCCGCGCGAGCATCGACACGGCCGTGCCCGTGCCCATATGCCCGCAGCCCCTGGCCCCAGCCGCTGCACCGCCCTTCTGCAGCCAGTCTTCGCTGTCGACCGCCGAGTCCTTTGGCTCCGCGGTCGAGGACGCCGCGGCGCTGGCCCCTGGCAGCGGCTTGCCTTCTCACGCGCCTGCGGCGGCCCCCGGCGGCAAGGCGGCGGCGGCGGATGGGCTGGCAGCGGCAGACGACGCTGGGCCCAGCCGCAGCGGCGACGGCGGCGCAGACCAGCGCACGCTGCCATCGCCATCGGCGTACGGCTCTTCCCCGTCCCCGACCAGCACGCCCGCCGGCGGCCCGCTCCCC